TCCCCCCTCCTCCCTCCCTTCCTCCCTTCCTCCCTCTTGCCTCCTCCTCATCCTCATCCTCCTCATGATCACCATCCTTCCCCCACCCCTTTCCTTAGACTAACATATCCCAGTCGCACCCCCCGACATGTCTGTAGGGCCAGCCAGGCGTTTCGCCTGAGACTTCATCACAATGTATGATCCTGAAGACTGAAACCTGCAACTGCGACAAGGATGGCGCCCAGATCGTTTTCAAAATGTTGCGCTCGCCATATGTCCGCGCACATTCGTCTTAAAAGCTGGCAACAGTTACAATGATGGAGGGCGAGTAATGTTCAAAATGTGGCTCGCGTATTGGCACCGTGCGAGTGTGCCCTGCACGCTTGCAACAGTTTGAAGGATGACAGGCGGCTCATTTCCAAAATGTGGTTACCGCCTTAGCGCTGCACACGTTCTTCGTCAAAACCTCCAGCCGTTTCAACACGTGGCTCTCGCCTTAGCGCCGCGCACATTCGCCTATAAATGCTGCAACACTTACACGTATGGATCACATGTCGTTCAGTTTGCAGCGGTTTCAGGGATGGAAGGGGGGGTCCTTTTCATAATGGTGCTATCGCATGAACTCCGCGCGAATTAGTTTTAAACCGAATGCAACAACTTGCAGGATAAAGGGCAATCCCTTTTTCAAAGTGGTGTTCTCGCCTTAGCGCCGCGCACAACCGTCTCAAAATATGGCAGCTGATGCGAGGATGTGGCACAAGCATGTTCAGATTGGCGTTCGCCTTAGCGCTGCGCACGTTCGTTCACCAATGCGCTCGTTTCAAACAAAGTATCTTTCTGATGTGTTTCAGCATGGGGCTATATTGCGAAATTCCGCGAAAATGTCTGAAAGTATGTTGGCGAAGGGCCCAACCGTGTGCGGGTGCGAGTACTGCAAGCCAGGTGGGACGAAGGAGAGGCAGCTCCCTGTGGGGCCACGAAACATATGAAAGGTGTGCCAGAATGGGTGCGGGGCCGCCAAGCGAAACCTGCCACTGGGAGTTCGTTGGAGCTCCCCATGGGGCCATGAAACGTGTGATGGGTGTGCCGAAATTGGCGGCGGACCGCCATGCGAACCCTGCCACTGGAGCCTTCGGTGGAGCTCCCCATGGGGTACCGCAAAGAAAAAGTATAAAGGGTGTTCCAAAATGAGGCGGGGCCGCCATGCGAACTCTGCCTCTGGGGCCTTGAGGAGGAGGAGAAGGAGGAGGGAGGAGGAAGAAGCAAGGACGCGCGGTGAGGATGCAACGGCCCTGAAAGGCCATGTCGACACCTTGCGCGCGGGGCGCGGCCAGCGCAAGCGGCCAAGATGGGCCGAAGGGGAAGGATGCAAAGGTAATCTTGGAAAATTGCTCATCCATACTATGCGGGTTGACTGTATCCCCTCCCGCCCCCCTTGCAAAGAGGAGGGCAAGGAACGGACAGCATAGGGTACGAAGACCCGGCGATATGTGAGACATCGAGCCGCGGCTGCTCCAGAGCGCTCCAGGGCGCTCGTAAGGGCTCTCGGGAATGCTGTCTTGGAATCCCAGGGCTGCCCGACTTTCCCCCACCCTCCGCCCCCAGACTCCCCCTTCCCGAGAGCCACTCCAGACAAAAGTCGCGTCCAGCAACTTCGATCCTCCTCCTCATTCCTCTTCCTCCTCTTCCTCCCCTCCTCATCCCTCCTTCTCCTCTTCATCCCCCCGCAGCGCCTGGCAGACGGGGGCCGCTGAAGTGACAGAACCGACGCGCGATGCTCTCTGTGGGAGGGTCCCCAAGGATCGGGCTGGCGGTGGCCGAGTCCACAACCACACTCTGCCCGCGGGTGGTGCGAGTCCAGCCCCGCAAGTGATCGCAGAGTTGTGGCCCCGAGGACATTGCTTCGTCGCAGCGCTGGCGGACGCTCCGCGCAGTCGAAGCGGCAAGCCAGGGGGCTGCGGGATCGTGGATTGGGCGCAGGAGGCGAAAGCAAAGCGGGGGGGGGCGGCCGCGGGGGGAGGCGGGGGGGTTGAGGCGCACGCTCGGATCGTGGTGTCCTCGGCCCCCCGAAACGTCTGCTCGAGTCCTCGGGGCCACTGCCTGGACAGCACAGTAAAGCACGAAACCAGCGTTTCGGACGGGGGAGCGTGACCCCCCCCGCCCGCACAGCGCGGTGGGCGATACGCGGCAGGGCAGCTGGATGGTCGAGCCTGTTCTCCGCAATTCTTGTGCCCTCACCTCGTAAGGACGTGGCAAGCGGAAGGGACGGGGATACGGTAGGTTCGCGCGGCGTCGGCGCGCGCAGAGGTTTTTGACACCGTGTCGATTGTTCAACCTTGCATCGATCGCGGATCCGATCGTTCAAGGTTGAATTCAGCCGGGTCCAGTGGCGTTACCGCGTCCCTCGGTGCTTCCGCGTCGCAAAACTCAACCTTGAACGCCTTCGCTGGCGTCGCCGGCGCGCCATCGCCGCGCGAACCTACCGTAACTAGACAAAGTGGCCCCGATCTTCGACGAAGCCCACCAGAGAGAAGGAGCGCTGCTCGCCTAGCCAGAACTTGATGCGCGAGAACCGCAGGCGGATCTCCTTCACGCCCGTTCTAACCTTCCAGGCGACGCTAAACATACATCAAACACCCCCGGACGATCACCTGCCCCCTCCCCCCCGTCTGCTCCGCATGACCTTCGCAGCTAAAATCCAACATCTGAGGCTCAAGACGACCCCAAAGAGCCTCGAATAGCAAGAGAAATGCCCAAGGCGGTCCCAAGGCGACCCTAATAGACCTTGATTATGGTCTAAGGGGTCTCAAGATGGCACAAGAGGGCGCTGTGACTGAGGCCCCCTAGACGGCATCCAAACAGCCCCCTAGACGGCACCCAAAGAGGGCGGAGGTCGAGGACAAGGGGGAGGGGACGCCTCCTCCTGCCGTCACCGGCCCCTTTACCGCCCTCCCTTGTGATCCATCCTTCTTTCTCCGTTTTCGTTAGATTCCCCTCTTCTTCCCCCTCGCTGTGAGGACGCTTCCAAGATGGCCCAGGAGGACACGAAAGCGCCGCAAGAGGACCCCAATACGCCAGTTCAGGCCCGTAGATCCCCAAAACAACCCCGAGATGGCCGCGCAAGAGTCCCGCCACGGATGAGGGAGAAGGAGGAGGAGGAGAAAGAGGACTTCATTTGCCCGCCCCTTGATCACTTCTTCCTCCCTCATCCGTACCTTCGGGAAGAACCAACGTCTCACTCAATCGAACTCACTATCGATCTTACTATCGATATCACTATCGATATCACTATCGATATCACTATCGATCTCACTATCGATCTCATTATTGATATCACTATTGATCTCACTATCGATCTCACTAGATCGACCTCACTATCGATCCCACAGTCGACCTCACAATCGATCTCACGATCGATCTCACGATCGATCTCACTATCCCTCTCACTCTCGATCTCAATATCGACATTACTATCAAGATCACTATCGATCTCACTATCGATCTCACTATCGATCTCACTAGCGATCTCGCTATCGCTCCCACTATCAATCTCACTATCGACCTAACTATCGATCTCACTATACACCGTCAGCACACCGACGGGACACCGACGGGACACCGACGGGACACCGACGGGACACCGACAGGACACCGACGGGACACCGACAGGACACCGGCGGGGCATCCTCGGGACATCCTGGGCCACCGAAAGACAATCCGTGGGAGGCGATCTTTTGGCCCAGCGGCGCCCTCGCCAGAGAAGGGTTCATGCCTCTCGCCCGCCCACGCAGCTTCGCCTCGCCCGCACGCACGACACGAAACCAAAACCGATTTCCCATGGGGGGGCTCCCGGTTTCACTGTGATCTCACCCCCTCACCTGCGATTGCTCCTCCTCATCATCATCATCATCATCATCATCATCATCATCATCATCATCAGCATCATCATCAGCATCATCATCATCATCATCATCATCATCATCATCAGCATCAGCATCAGCATCATCATCATCATCGCCACCACCACCACCACCACCATCATCATCATCATCATCATCATCATCATCACCCTTACCTCGTCCTCCTTCTCCTCCTCATGCTTCTCTCTCTCCTCCTCCTCCTCCTCCTCCTCCTCCTCCTCCTCCTCCTCCTCCTCGTCCTCTTCGTCCTCCTCTCTTCCTTCCTTCTGTCCTTCCTTCCTTCCTTCTCCTTCTCCCCGCCCTCCTCCTTCTCCTCCCCCTCTTCATAGGAGGGGGCTCATCAGTGCCTCCTCGGTAAGAATGTCAAGGGTCTTGTTTGCACGGTTTTCCAAGAAATCGGATCCTGCCAGGATGCGTGCTGCCATTGCGGGCAGCATATGTGACAGTGTTGCCAGTCTGATACCAGAGGACAGTTCTCAGGACGTGTCTTTCATGCAGGATGCTCCTGAGGTGAAGGCTGGTCTGTCGGATTTGGTTGTGCCTCTGAACGTTGCTGACGATGAACATGTATCCCACCAGCCCGCCAGCCCGTTAGGGGGCAGGGCTGGTCTGTTCGAGGTCTCGGACCATGAGGCGTGGCGCTCTTCCCCGTTGATATCTTGTTCGGTCTTGTTTTCCCGCCATCGTTCTGTCACGGAACTAGAGCTTGACTCTCAGCCGACTTGAGCACAGGGTCGACCCTCATGCCCTCATTCGATGACGACCCCATCCCGTCCCTCCCCCATACCCTGCTTTCCCATCCCCTCCCTCCTCCCCCTCCTGGCCTCGGTAGCTGGAGGGCGCGGCGGCGAGAGGGCCAGCAGCCGGGGATCGAACAGGAGGGTCAGGGCGAGAGCAAGGACGAGGCCTCCTCCTTCTCCTCCTCCTCTTCCTCCTCCTCCCCCCCTCCTCCCCCTCCCCCTCCGCCTCCTCCGCCTCCTCCTCCTCCTCCTCCTCCTCCTCCTCCTCCTCCTCCTCCTCCTCCCCCTCCCCCTCCTCCTCCTCCGTAGCCATTTTGGCTCAAGCCTGCCTTGGGCGCCAGGCGGGCGGTGCACGCGTTGTCTCTCCCTGTAGAGTCTTGTCATCTCGGCAGGCGCGGAGAGCGGCTCAGTCTCCTTCCCCTAGCGCGGCCTCTTGCGATGGAGGCAAAGGCAGTGGCTGCGGTTGAGCGATGCCAGCTCCTCGTGGCACTGGCGCCACTGGTGAGAGCGGCAGCGGCCGGCACGGCTGAGGGAGGCGGTGGACGCCAGCACCTCGCCGCCGCAGTCGCTGCCGTGATGCGCACTGGAGTGGCACTAATCTACGAGACGGCGCCGCACAGCGAGAAGCTCGACGGCGAGGAGCAGGTCGAGCTCGCTGCGCGGTTGGTGGCCATCGAGAAGGCGCTAGCCCTCTAGCTGGCGGGCAAGACAGTCCCAGGCAGTGTACGGTTCGAGCGCAACTTCGTGGCCCACGTGGGGATCGGCGAGGGCGCCGACGTGCTGATCGTGGAGACCAAGGAGAAGAAGAAGAGACAGCTGGGCCAGCGGCGCGGTCGGCCGCGGGCTGGCCTGGTGGCGATGGCCTCGGTGGAGCCCTCGGAGAGCGACTCCAGCCTGAAGGACGGCGCTGGGGCTCTTTTTGAGGGCCGCGAAGGCCAGATCCAGGTGCAGAAGGACGTGGCAGACGGCGCTACGGCTCTCTTCGAGGAGCGGGAGTGCAAGCAGAAGGAGCGGGAGACCAACGCGCGCGAGGACGACGGCAAAGTCAAGATCGACAAGGCTGGCCGCGCAGCAGGCCGCAGCGGAGCAGGTGTCCCCGTGCTCTGATCTCGTCGCGCCCAGCGAGGAGGGCAAGCAGACGGAGCTGGAGGGCATCGTTGACCCCATCACGACCAATGAGGACGGCGGCCTGGAGAAGTCCGAGAGGATCGGGCCTGAGTGCCCCCTGCAGAGGCGACGGCCTGGAATCTGCAGGGGGGCCTCCCGTGAAGCCGACGGGGACTTTCACGGGGGAGACGCTCAGGCCGCGCGGCGCTGGCGACGGCGACAAGGAGAAGATCGAGAAGGTGGTGCAGCACACCCTCGGCCATCCCGTGTGCCCTGTCGGTGGCGAGTATGCGGGCAAGCACCTCTTGGGGCCCTCTAGGGAGGCCTCTTGGAGGCCTCTTGGAGCGTCTTGGGGGCCTCTTTGGCCGTCTTGGGCTTATCTTGGGCATCTTGGGGCCCTCTTGGCGCCCTCTTGGGCCTCTTGGAGCCTGCTGGGCCTGTCTTGGAGCGCTCTTGGGGCACTCTTGGGCCGCCTGGGCTGCTCCAGGGAGGCTCCAGGCCCCCCCGTCCCGCCATGGGGGGTCGGGGCAGCTGTTTGTGGGCCCTGGGCCTGCCCCCCAGGGATATATATATATATATATATAAATATAAAAATATATATATATATATATATATATATATATATATATGTGTATGTATGTATGTATGTGTATATATGTATATATATACTAGAACCATCGCGCGCTTTTCGCGCGCGCTCAGGTTCTAGCCCAGGCCAGGGGTGCGCTGGACGATCTTGGACAACGCTATCAAGCACAGGCGCGCGACGGCATCTGAGGAGCTTCTGGGGTGTTCCGCATGCTTCGTCAACTGGCTGTTGGAGGCACCTCTTGGGTGCCTCGTGGGGGGGCGTCTGAGGGTCCCTTGGGGGCATCGGATCTGCAGTCTGAAGCCGTCATTGGCCGTGTTGGCTGCGTGGAGGCCCGACTTGAGGCCACCTGCGGCCAGATTGAGGCAATCCGGAAGCCTCCCGGTGGCCTCCTGGAAGCAGTTTTGACACATCGAGGGCACTCTTGGGCTAGTTTAAAACATCTTGGACGTCTCCTAGGGGCCTTTTGGGCCCTCGGGAAGCTTTTGGGGTCCTCTTGCGGCCTCCTGTGGGCCTTTTTGGGGGGAGCGCTCCGCTGTTGGATCGCGTTCCCCTTCTTGGGCCTCTCTTGGGGCTCTTGGGGCCCTCTCGGGCCGTCTTGGGCGCCTCAAGCACCGTCTTGGGGCCCTCGCGGGCCGTCTTGGGGCCCTCTTGGAGGCCTCTTCCTCTATATTGGAGCGGTATTGGAAGCCTCTTGGGCCGTCTTGGAGCATCGGGATGTCAAAAGGCCCAAAAAGAATGAAAACCCGTCAAAGCCCAATCGTAAAACAATGAGTTGTGCCTCTTGGGGCCACCTTGGGAGATCTCTTGGAACCTCGTCGGCCCTCTTGGGAGCTTCTTGGGGGCCTCTAGGATCCGACTGGGGGCCTCTTGGGACTTCCCGAGAACCTCTCGGGGTAGAAAGCTCGGATTCTCAATTCGTGTTTCCCTTCTTGGGCCTCTCTTGGGGCCGTCTTGGGGCCCTCTCGGGCCTTCTGGGCGCCTCAGGCACAGCCTTGGGGCCCTCGTGGGCCGCCCAGGGCCCTCTTGGAAGCCTCTTCGGCTATCTTGGAGCTGTCTTGGAGGCCTCTTCCTCCTCCTCGTCCCCCTCCTCCTCCTCCCACTCCAGCTCTCTCTCCTCCTGATCTTCCTCCTCCTCCTGCAGCGTGTTCCGGAAGGCTCCCGCCGGAACATGCTGTGCACAAGTGCTGTCACTGCTCCCGCCACAGTGCCCTGGGTGGTGGGTCAGAGGCCTCATGGGTGTTGGTTT